AGCCACAAAAAGGTGGTTAATTATAGAAAAGCTATAATCACACACACACAGCCTGCTACATGTAAAATTAAGCACCTGCTCAGAATGATTACAGAGAAAAAGGACTAACTCTTCACATTGATCTTCTTTTTAAACTTGTATATTCTGAATAATGGTTGTGACTGTTCTTAACAGCCTTGATGCTGAAACTAGATTAAACCAGGCAGATTCTTGTGTCCTGACCCCCACTAAAGAGAGTGTGTTCAGGCACCGGAAACCAGCTGAGGTTAAATCAAATGACATACTCAAGTAGGGAGGGATGAGAACCTCATGTTCATTTAAGTAACAACTTAAAGGGCCTGTTAAGCAATGCACAGGAACTCTGTGTCCATGAGATTCAACCACTTGAAGGGTAAGAAGTGCTTACCACAACCTGTTCACCTGAAACATGGATCTTTACGTTCTCACTTCTGCTGTGTCTAACCCAGTGCATCGGCAGCTACACAGAGCTGAGCAGGCAAACTGCTGCTGCTCTGCTCTGTCATAGCCAGCCTTAACATCACTCAAAAGCAGTAACATCTTCATTCCCTCAGAGTGCCTGCTACATCAGCACCAAGCAGAAACAGCTGTCATTTCATCCAAACATGGATACATCAGACCTTTTACACAGGAGTATCTGGTTAAATCCAGCTGTTCCCTCTCCAGAGGGTTCTGTGCACCAGTTCATCAGGAATCCCAAGTTTCATCTCAATTTCTTCTGGTGACACAGGTTCAGAATGACAGAAATTGCAGACCAACTGTCCCACTCCAGAGGGGCGTGTCCCAACAACCGGCCTCCTAACTAGTTCCTGCTGGCACTCAAGGAATATGTGTAGTAGCAGCCTATCTGCACAGGCAACCAACTGTGCTGCATCTGGCAATAGAAAGTTTACATTCCTATATTCAGCAGCCCTTATGATACAGAAAGAGATGTCTGAATGAAGTGAATCAATCCCACAGCTGTTCAATTGGCTGTCTCTGCTCTTAATATACTGAGTAAATTTTCTAGAACTGATGAGAGATACAGTAATACACTGCATATGTAACAATAAACCTATGTGATACATAGAAGATTCTTACAGGTTTTGATATTTTTCTTTACTTACAAATAAAATTATTCCTTAATATTTAAAATCTTTGCTGTGCTTTTCCTCACAGGAATGAAGTGTATCACAAATGTTTGTTGTCAGTCCAAGTAGGTTTCCAAGACCTGACTGGCTAAAGCCCTGAGCAGCCTGGTCTGACCTGATTTGAACAGGAAATTGGACCAGCAACTGCCTGACCCTTCTAACCTGTGTTCTTCTACCAGTCTGTGAGTCTATGATGTGCTAGAATATAAAGTAGAACAGGTCCAAAGCTGGCAGTTAAAAACCTCATTTTAGCCAGTTTCTGCAATTCCATGTTTAGGGCACTCTTCTAAGTGTGAGACTGCTCCAAACCCTCAGTCAGCATGATGGCTTTCCTGGCATGCCCTGCATGGATGCAGTTTGGTATCACCTCTAAGGATATTCAGCAGCAGAGAACCCTTTCTCACTCCCTTCCCCCCAGCCATATGGCCCTGCTGATTTCCTTACACTGGCAGGAGCAGCTGTCTGACCTCATGGCAGGCCAGCTCAAGGAACCAAGAGGCAGAAAAAAAGCCCTCAACAAAACTTCCTGCTTTCTGTCATAATTCCCCTGAATTACCACAAGGCCAAGCAAATACCAAGTGCAAGAAGATGGGAGCATGCACTGATCCTGGGAGGTGAGAATGCACAGCCAGCATGAGAAGCAAAAATAGCAATTCTATATTCCAGGAACTGTCAGCACTAGAACATTTAACTGAAATGGCAGGATTTAATTCTCCCCTTGTACAGCACAGAAAACTAGATACTTACCTGATTTTACATAGTGCATGGGATTTCACAACTGAACTACTAAATCAATTTTCCCTTTACACTTCTGCTAAATAAGGACTAATCAGCAAAGCTAGTGAGGAAACTGAGATGCACTGTCTGTTTATATATAATTGACAGCAATCATAACATGAAGAAAACTGTATCTCACTTTTAAAGTGTGACAACATGTAGCAATTTAGGCTACAATATTCAGTATTTTATGCACATATTTTTCCAAAAGCTTTTTTTTTGCAGCTCTTTTCAGTTTGGGCACAGTAGCTGGAAAAGCAATATGGTTATGGTGGCACGTCTGCCTTTGATTTGACATTAAGAACCAAGTGCATTCATACATAATTAAAATAAAGGTTTTTATTCAGTTCATGATATTTCTGACTGGGTGTTCTATTTTCCCAAACACCAATTCCATGTAAAGAAATGTAAACCATAAATACAATGTAAGAGCAGCAAAACAAAACACATTCACTCAGAACCAGAAGAACTTTGTTCACTTTACTGTCCTTCCAAGGAATAGCTGTAATCGGTCTGACTGCCAAATCGATGCACAAAGTCTGAAAGGGAGAACACTGAGCCCCATCCCACTTCAGGATTCATACTGATGAAATCATCCAAGTTCATTTTGGAATCTAAAAAAGGACCAGAAAAGGGAAATATTTAAGTTCCTGATGCAGGTTCTGTAGCATAAGTATACACGTTTCAAGAAAACATTCCAAACCCCTCTTCAGTAGATCAGTTCAGTCCAACAAGATTCTGCAAATTGTACAGTGGTACAGAAACATCTATTACCAGTCTCTGAAACATTGCTTTTGCCCCAGTTCCCCTCTCTGCCCATGGCAATAATCACATTACAGGATCAGTAAGCATCCAGTAAGTCATGAGAAACTAGCATGTGTGGGTAAGATTTTTCTCTACAACAGCAGCCTGGAAGGGTCAAGTAGTGTCAGAGAACTGGAGTGCAAATAACAACCAACACAGGGAAGTGCAGTGCAGTCTTCCTGCATTCACACATATGTGATGACTCAAAAGCAGGGGAGATATTATTCACCCATTTAAGTTCTGAACAAAAGTCAATTGAGTCAACTTTTGCACTGACAGAGGGACAGGCTCACAGCAGTAGTCAGAACTGCAAGTTGCTTATTGTCTCAGAAGTGATTAGCCCCTTTGACAAACCTGCAGTTTGTTATTCTCCAGACTGCAGTATTTGTTTTCCCTCCAGCCCCGACCTTTGTCCTCACTGAACATGGGTTCACTGCAGGGCCAGAATATGCAGAGAGGAGGAGATGTGTGACCTAACCCAGCCCCCAGCCAAGAGCAATGCTCAGGTGAAGAAGAGCACAAGCCTAAGATGGGGGAAAATACTTACTTTTTTTGAATCTTGAATGACATAATGAAGTCAGGGGAAAAGTTCAACTGCCACAGTTTCAAGAGAAAAGTAAGTAACCATTACTGCTCTTTCCCAGGACTTTAATCTGCTCTGTTCCTTCCAGGAGGGGTAGAAACCATTCTATCCCATTCATGGATCCCAGAGAGCTCACTGGAAAAGTGCTGGTATGCAGTTTGGGGTTTAAGTGCCTTATACATTCTTTTTCCAGAGCTGGCCTGGTACAAGCTGGTACAATGCTGACTCAGAACCATGCTGATCAGAGGTTCAGTTCTGATGACAAACACCTGTGGGCTTGTTTTAGGTTCTCACTGATGATGTGCACAAATAATCTTTTTAAATGCCCATTAAAAGAAAACTCTCAGAGAATGAGTTTAAGGAACAGAGTGGTAAAGCCACTGTTACAGGTTTATTTTACAGATTTACGGTTAACAGCTCTTCCACTGTATTAAGTATTTACTATAACACAGATGATTCATGTGTGCATTGAAGGATTAAGAATCAAACAAGAGGAGGCTGTAATGAATAGATTATAAAATCTAAAGGATGGAATTTGCTTTAGCTGCAAAATGCTTGTGTAACTAAGCTTACAATTGTGGACAGTGTAAGCAAGGAAAGGAAGATGACATTCAAGAACCCCAGACCCAGGAGTCCCAGGCATAATCCAGCCCCTGAAGGCCTCTGTTTGCACCATGTCTACACTACAGCACAGCTTTGTGATTTGCCTAATCCCAACCTTCACCTTCTCTCAGACCTTCTGAGGTCTGGCCCCTAATCTTTTCTTGTTAACCTGTTTGAACCCTGCATATGGAAAATCCTTATGTTCATCCAAGTACGGTCCTACTGCTGAAGTGACTCTGGCAGAGCAGGGACAGTTTCTGCCTATGTGGGAATTAAAAATAGCACAAGCTCAGCAATTTGCTGTCATATCTCAAGAACAAATTAGTAGTGGATAACAGCTCTTGCTTGCTGGCAGACTATTAAGTCCGTTTTCCAGTTCCAAACTTGTCTTTTCCTCCCAGATACTTTTTCAAAATTTATGTGATTCTTCATATACTTTAAGTTTAAATAAATAAAAAAATAAATCCCTGTTTTATGTGCATTGGGCATAGTAAAACAATTTATAAAACTGTTCTGTGAATGGTAAAGCAGTCCAAAGAAGATTGTTCCAGTAGTTACAAACACAGCTGCTGTTTGCAAATGGGAAGTTGCTACCACAATGCCTATAGGAAATGAAATACTCTCTAACTTCAGAAGGATTGTGCCAGATTGTTTTACCAAAGCAAACAAGTCCATTCCTATGAAAAGCAATGGCACAAGAACCTGTTGGTAGACAGCACTGGAGCAACACAGGAGATACCCATTGGGAAAAACATAGTGAGACCTCTCCCGTTTTATTCATGTAATAACAGCCCCTCTATGCTGCTCTTTCCTCATGGGCTCCATCTGAAGGCCGTGCATGTTGTGTTAGACCTTACAGCATTAGGAAACAGCTTGGCAAAAATGCATGAGAATACCACAAAGTCCTTTTCCCGAAGCAGGTAAGAATGACAAACACCAGAATATACAAAAGATACATCTCGATGCTACAGCTGGCAAACCAAGATGATCTCTCCATAAAAGCAAGGAGTACGTATCCTACAAACTTTTTCCAAGACCAATAGCAGCAGAATTATTTTCTTTTCAGATTTACATTACCCTTGCAGTCCTCCTCAGGCACTGTGACTGTTATACTAGCTTGCATTTGTGCATGCTTAGAGCTCAACTTCCTCTTCGACCAAACACACTTTATTACACACCCCCTCTCCCCCAAATGAGACCTATCTGGCCCATTCTGAGATTCCTGCATAACTTTATTTTTGTTTAAATCAAGTCTGCCACTTTTACCCCAAGCAGGGATGAAATAAAAGGCCATGCACTATCTCAGGCATTGTTAGCCATGACACTTGTGGCTTCAGCCAACAGTAGTTAGAAAGCAGTGTTTAAGCCAAGCCTCGGCTTGGCTCACAGACCTTGGACTAACTCGGTGTAATGACAGCTGCCCAAGGTCTGCTGGAAGCAAGGAAGTCTGGAACAAAGCCTCCAAGATCAGTTCTGCTGATGCCTAAAATCTTGGGGGCACCTAAAAGAAAGTTGTGACCCTTCAGACTTGTGTAGGTGTTTACAGTTCTCTTCAGATCCTCCTCCCTTGTCTGAGCAGGGAGATAAGTCAGAAGGACTCTTCCCACTCTCAGATGGGGGGCTGCTGTCTCCACAGCTAAAATATAACTGACTGTGCAAACCACCCCGGTTGATTTCAATGCTAAACACAGCTCACCACTGCAAATTATCTTTTACAGGAAGTGGTGTAATTTCAACAAGCCACTGGGAATTTAAATACTTAGTTGTGTCTTTATTGCAGCTATCGGACTTGATTCATTACTTCCACAAAAGCTTATGAACTAAGGACCTAACTTGAAAGACTGGAGTTTTATTCTCAAATGAGAGCAGCAGAAGGTTCCCATGGAGTGCATAGTAGCTACTTGTATCCTTATCAGTGCCTTTTCACTTTCACTGGGATCCTGCCACCGCTTCAGAGAGGAGATACAAAAAGCAACTGCAGACATCTGTCAGGCCTCTGTCTAACACATTTCCTGTTACATACATGTTTGATACACAGTGTCTCCAGAATTTCTCAGCTGTCCTACTCATTGTCTTCAAAATAAAAAAAAAAAAAACAACCCAAGTAAAACCCCATCATTATTGACTAACAGGGATTTTATTAATAATAAAAAGACATAAAGCTTTTACAAATCAATCCAGTAAGTGTGCACCAAACACCTTGGGAGAAGTGGAATTCAAAGCAGTGCTTTTCAGTGTTAGAGCTGCTAATAACACTTGTACATAAGCCATATGACCATCTGTTCGGAGTGATTTTGAAATGCACTGTGCAAGCTGTATTTTACACAGGCTTGCAGTAAGGAGGGCTGATCTCATCCCAAGTCATCAATTAAACAGAATCAGCCCTCATTACTTCGTGGAAAGAAGATTTTAAAGAAAACCCAAGGTTGGGCTCACCAGCTCTAGAATAATGAATTTGTTCACCAAATCTCATTTTCTTAGTTTTTATTATTTGAACAAAATACCCTGTTTTCTTTCAATAGGAGGTAACTGGCAACCAGGCGGGATCAGGGGAATGTGTTGCAGCTCACATATGTTTATTCCAGCAGAGCAGCTTTGAGGACAGGGTAGGGTGGGAAAGCACTGTGTAGCCAGTTAGGTCAGCCAGCCTCTCCTGCCATCCATAGCAGGAGAGCAGAATAGAGGCCAGAGCAATGCCAGTTAAAAAACACAGAGGCCTAACTCTAAAAAACAGCTAGAGCAGAGCCAGTTCCAAGAGGCTAATGCTTAGCATGTGAGTTCTGAGGAGATACTGAGGAGTCTGAGAGCTGTTTTTTTTATTGTTGTTTTATTGGTTGGAGTTGTTTGCATTTTAGAGAAATGTTTTTTAAAAATCACCTTGTGCCAACTTAATTTTTTTTAGGCATAGACTGGAATTTATGACTCCATGTAAGCTTATTTTTGATGATTTATTTTGCAGCCCTGTGAACAGGACAAATACTGTTTAAGATTTATTCCCTTTGAGTTACCAGTAGGAGAAAAAAATGCTTAATTTGTTCATGATCAAGATTTCACAATTAAATTCCAAAATGTTTTGGTAGCAGGGGTGGGAAGCTTCCTCCTGCACAACAGAGCCAGTACCAGCCAGCTCCAGGATGGACCCACCTCTGGCAAAGGCTGAGCCATCAGTGATTGTTGTAGTACCTCTTCCTTTAAGAAATTAAAAAAATCTATTGCACAGAAATAATTGTGGCCAGAGAGGAGTAAGAATATGTGGAAGAAACAACTCTGCAGACACCAAGGTCAGTGAAGAATGAGGGGCAGGAGGTGCTCAAGGCACCAAAGCATGGTGAGACAGCTGTGCCCCTGCAGCCCATGGAGGAGGCTCAGGCTGGAGCAGATGTATGCCTGAAAGGAGGCTGTGATCCCCATGGGAAGCCCATGCTGGAGCAGGCTGCTGGCAGGGACCTGCAGACCTATGGAGAGAAGAGTCACGCTGGAGCAGGTTTGGTGGCAGGACTTGTGACCCCATAGGGGATCCATACAGGAGCAGCTTGTTCCTGAAGGACTGCACCCTGTGGAAAGGGAGCCACACTGGAGCAGTTCATGAAGATCTGCAAGAGAGGAACACCATACTGGAGCAAGGGAAGGACTCCTCTCCCTGAGCAGCAGTGGCAGAAACAACCTGTGATGACTGCAACCCCCATTCCCCACTGAGTGGGGAGGGAGGAGATAGAGAACTGGGAATAAAGCTAAGACTGGTAAAGAGAGAGGGGTGGAGGAAAGGTGTTTTTAGGATTTGTTTTGCTCCTCATTATTCTGCTTTGATTTTGATTGGCAATAGATTCAGCTAATTTCCCTAAGTTGAGTCTGTTTTGCCCATGACTGTAATCAGTGAATGATCTCTCCCCATCCTTATCTCAGTTCATGAGTTTTCATTGCATTTTCTCTCTTCTGTACAGCTGTGGGTAAGAGTACTTGAGCAACTCTGGTGGGCACCTGGCATCCAGTCTGGGTCAAACTGCCACAAACATCAAAAAAGACATATAGGAAAAAGAAGAAATATAAAAACTTTGCATCTTCTCAAAAGCTGAGGAATTTGGCTACTCTAAATGAAAACAAACAAAAAAACCCCAACAAAACAAACCCACTCTGATAGAAATGTGCCTCACAAGTAAAATTGGTATTAAAACAATATGGGGTCAGTTCTGCTAGCCATTATATTGCAGTCACCTCTAACATGAAATATGTAAGTAATTTAATCTTATGCAAACACAAATCAACATGGAATGCAGAATGTTCTATCTAAGTGAAACGGCAGGGAGAAAACAGTTATCTGCAATGGAATTTGGCATGGACACAAACATTAATACCCCAGGCTCTTTTATGATAACAAAAGGTCTTCCACCCAGTTTTACATCAAATTAAAAATAAGACAGCTTTATGCTTGATAAAACTGTGCTGAAACATTACAGTTGGACCCAGACTCCTCACAGACTCACAGCACTGTGCTCATTGAAGCACACATCCTTATAAAGTATCTCAAGTGAATACAAAGGGAAGACAAAAAGTAAAGCTGGAGGAACTGATACTAAATGAAAGACAGCTTGAACTAGATGTCCTAGATCTGTGAAAATCTAGTCCTGTTCTCAGACCTCGAAGCTCTCTAGTGAATGACTTTCCACCTTCAGTGGGTGCAGGGTAACAAGTTTCTTTAAGCCCACTGACAAGGAGACCAGAGCACATCAGCACAGCGCTGCAATACTGCAAATGTATCCATTTGGAGCTCCACAGCACAAAAAAAAAAACCCCAAACTGTGGACAAACTGATGTAGACCCAGAAGAGGAAAATCAAGTTGTTTGGTGCAGGACAACATTAATTCAAGGAGAGGCTCAGAGAACTGGGTCTGTTCAGCCCTAAACATAGAAGATGAAGAGGAGACATTACTGCTGCCTACATCTGCCTGATCAGAGGCAGGCCAACGGCACCACAGTCTTCTTGGAGAAGCCTGGCAACAGGACAAGAAATGAAAAAGGCAAGTTGGAATATGGGAAATTCCAATTATGTACTAGGATGTTTCATTATTTATTTTTTTTTTATTTTTTTTTTTTTTACCATGACAGTGGTCAAACATTAGAACGCTGTTCAGAAAGGTGGTGGAATCACCATCCCTGGAGGTGTTCAAGACCAGACTGCTGGATAGAGCCCTGATGAATCCCTGTTTTGGGCAGATGTTGGATGGATGACCTATGGATGTTTCATACAACATGGCAAGGTATAAAGCAAAGAATGAAAGCATAAAAGGAAGTAAGAGCTACATATCCTTCTCCATCTTCCAGCATCACAGAGACAATCTGGAGGCTGGCTGAGGCCTGTGGCTGCTGCTCACCAGTGCAGTAAAGCTCAGCCAGACATGACAGGTATGGGGAGAGTTACAGGGTTTGCAGCTATGCAGTCATTTACTCCAGCTAGAGATACATGTACGCATCTGCAACTGTCTGAGTCATTATGTAACTTACTACCCACAAGTAATGTTTTTCACTCTTTTGATTTGAATAGAATTTTTTGCTTTTCTGGTCTGACCTCATCTATATTCCTCACACGTTCATTACCTGTCAGTTATCAAAACAACAAAGTTTCCACAGACAAAAAAGTTCCCAGCACCTGCGAGGCTCCAGCTAACAGAGAACCACTCACTGTAATTCAGGAATCCTACAATCCCTACAATACTTTTGCATAAAACTCTGCTGAAAATAATAACCAAGATTTAGAATTCAAGGTGCTTCATAAACTGGATTATCTAGAAAATGCCTAAAGCCTCATAACAAAGACTACATCTGTGTTCCTACTCACTCTCATAATTCATTTCTATCCTCATGTGAAACACCAAGCTTCCTTAGAACCCAAAGCAAAGACTAAGAATTAATTTCCCAGCAACTTAAAATCACTTGGATCTAAACACAGAACATGTTTCTTTGACCCTCCCTTCTCTAACATAAACAGTACTGCATTATTAAAAATCAACAAAACCAAACATGCAGAGCAGTAACATGAAAACTCTTTCAAACTCTTTCAAAGCAAAACGTCACCATGCCTTCCTTGGAAGAAAATGAGAGAACAAACAAACACACACATGGCAAATGCTCACTCAGCTTGCAAAACACATGATTAGAATAAGCTGAAGTGTTGTGTGATAAGAATGCCTTAAGCAGCTCTACAGAGTAGATGCCAAGTCTTTACCTCTCTCTGCCTGGCCCAGAGGCTATTAGCTAGGCTATCACTTAAAAGAGGCTTAAGGCTTAAGGGAAAGCTTGCCAACTTGCCAGTGACTTGAAACATTGTAGAGTCCATTCACCCGGTAAAGACACCTCAAACATTTCATGCAGGCTAACCCACTACACTGAGCAGAGCCTGAAAACTTCCTCCTGCCAACACTACTTTGACAGAATAGGATCTGTGTGCTAGAATGTGGTATAATCACTGTGTGAAAAACTTTGTGACCCCTTAGCAAGTTATTTGGCCTGTTTGCTTCAATTCCCTGCTGTAACAACAGACCAGTATTACTTACCTCTCACTCTCTGCTCAGTTTATGAATATCAGTAATTAATGTACCAGTAAATGCCAGAAGGCATGTTAGACTACATGTCCAAAAAGGAGAGTACCAAATGCTTCATTGCCCTATTTTTTCCCATATGAAGTAATAAGTTGTCTGGACAAATGTTAAAGAAGTTATTTATTTCCCATGTGCAACCTGGACTACTTCATTCAGCACTGTAAGCAGAAAGAAAGAGTTCTGGGAGCTCACCTGCAGTTTCAATGCAAGGGTATGGAGGAGGAGGTTTCTGCCATTTCCCATCTGCATCCTTCATATGAGATCTGTCTGAAGCAAATGTCTTCAAGTACAAATCTGCTCGAATCATTCTGATTTTTCTTAAAAATAAGATGCAAAATTGTATTAAAAGATGCATATACATCTTTTAATTGTACTAGAGTAAAATACATTTTACTCTTACATACTGCACTAATTACTCAGAATAAGAGCTTTCCTCTCATCAAGGAGCACTAATATTATTAAATACACAAACCAGCAACGTTGGGCCAAGTTGTTAACATGAAGCTACAGTGGGAAAGAAAAAATGACTACGGTAAAGAGCTTTAGAAAAGTAACACAATGCATTTATTTTACTTGAGTATAGTAAAGAAACCTCCATCACTATGCATACACAAAGAGGACTTCAACTTTGATTTACTGAAATAACATTCATTGTCTTTATATTTCATGTCATCACCTGTGAAACTCTGGACGAAGGCTGTCATCCAACCTAAAGGCCTCCACACTGTACACATCAAAAGGACATGGAAACGGCAACACTGTGTCAAGGTCATAAATGAAGTTCTGCTCCCCACTGGTAACATGAAGTAGAATAACATGGTAGTCCTGGGAAGAAAGGTAATTGCCATTAATTAAACAGCAATTAAAGAGAAACTGGCAAAGAGAGGGGAATAAAAGTGATTCCTAAAATCATAAGTTCAGATCCTTTTTATAAAGCCTGCTTGCTGTCCTTGAATATTAAGCCTGTAATACTTCTGGCACCAGGAAAGAGATTTCATAATGTCTATCTTGCCCATCTGCTCCTCCAGAAACCTTGTTATTCTCCCCATTTCTTTGCAGCCTCCTTTGATTTAAACCAAGACAGCAATCCAAAGTGTACACTACTAAGGAAATAAATAGAAAATCTCTCTCATGTTCCACACCAAATCACAAAAGGTGTTTGGTTAAGCACTTTTTTATTAAACCCAGTCATAAATAAACTCACAAGATAAAATGATAGGTTAACATTAAAGTTACCTAGTGATCTCTTCTAATAAGAGATTTTGTACCTGTTGCAGTAACACGGTCTGTGAATTTGAGTGTCGAGTGTTCAGCTGCCAGAAGCACCTGAAAAACCAGCACACCACTGAAAAACCAGGGAACAGCTCAGATCAGGAGGACCACAGGAGTAAGACAATTTCCTGTAGCAGCTCTTGAAGCTGGGAAAAAATATCTGTGGGTACTATATTACACTTTTTCAAGGCAACTATTTGGGTTATGCAGTGCAGTTTTACTTCTGAACTAGTAAGAAATACAGGTGGAGGTTTGGGGACACTGCAGTTAGTGACATTAGGTCTCAGGCATGTATGCTGCTGTTTTCCAAAATTAAATTGAAGGTAGCCCTTAATTTATTTAAATTTACATTGAATACACTCACAAAAAGGGTTGAGCACTGTCTTTTGACACTTTCAATATTAAAAACACAAAGAAATTTGAATGAAAAAGATTTGGGAAATCTACTTCACCAGACTAAAATACATACATAACTGCATTCAACAGCATTTAGAAAAACCTATTATAGTGTGTAAGAAAAATTATCTTACAAGCTTTACATAACCTACAATCCACTGAAATGTCAAAGTTAATAGCCCTTTTAATACATGAATTTTTATGAGAAATCCACATTCTGTCATGGCCTTTCTGACTGCTATTCCCTTTTAGGTCATCTCTGTAACACTTGGACCTCTTTTTAAAGCAACCCTTTTTTTTTTTTTGTGCTGTAAAGATACTAGTATTTTGGAAGGGATTCAGAAATCAGAAAACTTGAGAAGTTTGCAGCTTACTTTGCAAAATTTCAGAAACAAAAATTCCCACAAGAAATAACTTTTTCTGTGCCAGATAACTCAAAGGACTCTATAATGATACCAAGGAATTCTGCATCATCAATTACTGAACTACATTAATTGATCAAATGACACTTCAAAGCCACTGTTTATGGGTCAGTTTAACTGCTGACACCTGAATACATATATGATTATATTTTTCTATCATCTGGCAGGCCGACATAAATCTTTTCATTTATTTATTTCTTACAAGTACAGTCATCTACCTACAATTCTACAGGGCTGGCAGCCTCAGTACCCAGATAATAATTTTAATAATTTAATAATAATTTTATGCATTCTTACTATAATTAAGACTTGTCACCTGTAGGTTTTACTGACTGTCTTGCTATTAATTTATGAGGGATGGTGCAAAACAGATTTAGGCTGTTTATAAATATGCTGTAAAAGAATTATAAATATTAATACAAAACTGTGCAATGTGTGAAATTGGAAGGGACTTCAAGAGGTCAGCTGGTCCAGCCTCTTGCTCAAGGAGACTCTCCTACAGCCAACTGCCCAGGACTGTATCTGGATAGCTTCTAAAAATCTCCAAGGATGGAGATTTCACAACCCCTCTGAGCAACCTGCACCAGCACTCCACCACCCTCAGAGAACAAAGTGTTTCTTTGTGTTCAGATGGAACAGTTTGTTACACGCCCACGAGTGATCCTGCAGCTGTCAACTACAGAGGCACACACTCAAAGTTATTGAGACTAATGAATGCCTTACCCAGACAACAGGCTCATCTCCATGTCCAGATTTCTGCTTCCAGAGTGGAATCTGAAAGTTATAAGTGAACCTCAAGTGAATAAAATCTTTCAGATTCATTTCAGGTAAATTGGTTAATCTTTGCTAACCTATAACTTCCTCAGCTTACATCTGTGCTGCAGTAAGAAAATTTTATGTAGTTTCTCTCTCAGGTGCATGAAACTGGAGATACTATTCTGGGCCACAATAAAAAAGCTGTCCAGAGAAGTGATGGAGTCACCATCCCTGGAAACATTCAAAAGTCTCGGGGACATGGTTTAGTGGTGAATATAGTGGTGCTGGGTTAACAGTTGGACTTGATGGTCTTAGAGGTCTTCTCCAACCTTATGGTTATTAATGGTTCTATGATTTTATAAAGACAACTATTCTCCTGAATTGACAGATTACAGACAGAATTACGCCCGTAACTCACAGGGACACCATGCCTCATTCCACTGTCCTGAATGCAGTGCATAATTAAAGATCTCACGCGGTGTGGTTCGCACACCTCTGAGCCAAACTGAGCTACCAGACGGGTTTGGACTGTATCTCACCTACAGGCTGGGCTGAAGGCTCCCTCCCCAACATTGGGCTGCAGTCAAAATAGCTGGGACCATGTCTCACCTACACTGGGCTGCAGTCTGAAGGCCCGAGCCTTTCCATAGCTGACTCTGATCACATCCCATTGACTCACCATCTTCCTATCATTGGATATGAAAACAGCATAAAATTCTTCTAAAGGGTGCCGATCCTGACTCCTGATGTAGTCACAAAGCTTCCAAACATTTTCTTCACTGAAAAACACAACATCGATTATTTATATTGTTTTCCTCCAACTTCATTTCTCGTGACGTGAAACGAGCCCAGGAGCGTGGTCAGCCCGCAGCTGCGCCTTTCCTGCCGATGGCTCCGGCTGTCCCGGCGCCCTACGGTGTTGTGAGGGGGCAGCTGTTCGCCCGTCTCTGTCCTCCTTACCAGTAGCAGCTGGTGTAGGTGCAGGCGGGGCGGGGGCGCACCGCCGCCTCATAACCGGCCTCAGGCCGCGCCATGGCAGGTCTGAGCGGGGATGAGGGCGGCGCAGGAAGGGTAGCCGCTATGCCGTCCCCGAGGAAACCGCGGCCATCCTCGCTCGGCGCGGCCACTTCGCGGGTACGGCCGGAGCGGCGGCTGGAGCTGCTGGGACCCTCAGGCGG